AGAAGCTCGTGGCAAACTCCAGGAGCTCCAAGAGGCTCCAGGGAGTTCTGAGTGGCTCCAGGGAAGTCGTGGCAACCTCCAGGGAGCTTGTGGCCACCTCCAGGAACTCGTGCCCATCTCCAGGAGCTTGTGGCAAACTCCAGGAGCTCCAAGAGGCTCCAGGGACTTCTGAGTGGCCCCAGGGAACTCGTGGCCATCTCCAGGAGCTCCAAATCACCTCCAGGAGCTCGTGGCAACCTCCCAAGCTCATGGCAACCTCCAGGAGCCCGTGGTAGCCTCCAGGAGCTCATGACAACCTCCAAGAGCTCCAAGCAGCCCCAGGGAGCTCCGAGCAGCCCCAGGGAGCTCGTGGCCACCTCCAGGAGCTCGTGGCAACCTCCAGAGCTCCGAGCAGCCCCAGGGAGCTCCGAGCAGCCCCAGGAGCTCGTGGCTATCTCCAGGAGCCCTGATCCCTGTCAGAGCAGAGCTCTGCCCGCCCCAGGGGCACGACCCGTGCCTGGCCCCGGCACAAACGCAGCCCCAAGCCCAAAGCTGAGCAGGAAAAGCCGAGGAGGCGCGGGCAGGGCAGAGGCTGCGGCAGGAGCGGCTCCGGGGCGATCCATCCCGGCCGTGCCGAGATCTACGGCAGCACAGGGAAATAACTCAGCTTTACGGGAGGAAGGGGAGGCCTCGGAGAGCCGCTGCTCCTCGCCCGGCCCGTAATTACCCCGCAGCCGCCGCAGTATTTTACCTCGGAAATGCCTGAGTGACCCAGAAACTGGAGTCCCATTTCCTGAAATTATTTCACCACTTCAGAGCCCTTGTTTCAATGAAAGCTGCTGCAAACGAGGCATGAGAGCCCCGAGCTGAGCTGGAACATATTTTCCCCGCCGACATGTGCGGATGGTTTGAAGGGAAGAGCAAAGTCAGGGCTGCGAGGAGCGGGAGAGGCCGGGCTGAGAACGAGCGCCTCGACAAAACCCTGCACATGAACCCAAATAACGGGGCCAGGGAGCCCCACACCGCCCTCCTGTGCCACACAAACCTCCTGTGGCACCGGTATTATCCCAGCCCACCTTCCTTCAGCTCTCGGGGGGGTTTAGGGTGCTGCTGTTTGATGCACGAGCCCTAAAAACCTGAGGGGAGAGAGAAATGCTGCGGGCAGAAGGGATTGCAGAGAGGTCTGCAGAAATGGAGTGCAGAAATGGAGTGCAGAAATGGAGTGCAGAAATGGAGTGCAGAAAAAGGAGTGCAGAAATGGAGTGCAGAAAAAGGAGTGCAGAAAAAGGAGTGCAGGAAAAGGAGTGCAGAAATGGAGTGCAGAAATGGAGTGCAGGAAAAGGAGTGCAGAAATGGAGTGCAGAAATGGAGTGCAGAAATGGAGTGCAGAAATGGAGTGCAGAAAAAGGAGTGCAGAAAAAGGAGTGCAGAAATGGAGTGCAGAAATGGAGTGCAGAAATGGAGTGCAGGAAAAGGAGTGCAGAAAAAGGAGTGCAGAAAAAGGAGTGCAGAAAAAGGAGTGCAGAAATGGAGTGCAGAAATGGAGTGCAGAAATGGAGTGCAGAAATGGAGCGCAGATAAAGGAGTGCAGAAATGGAGCGCAGATAAAGGAGTGCAGAAATGGAGTGCAGAAATGGAGTGCAGAAAAAGGAGTGCAGAAATGGAGTGCAGAAACAGGAGTGCAGAAAAAGGAGTACAGAAATGGATGCCAAAAAAAAAAAAAAAAACGAGAAAACAAAGGAAAGGTGAGGGACAACCCCAGGGAAGGGGGAGCATCCATTGGGAATTCCTCAGCACCTCCAGCGTTTCCTCCCTGGCTGCAGTTTGGGAAATCTGGCCTCAGTTCGCAGAGCCAGGAATGGGGAAAAAAAAAGAGGGGAAAGGAAAAGAAGGGGGAAAAGAAAGAAGGGGGGAAAAAAAAAGAAGGAGAAAAAAAGGAGGGAAAAAAAAGGAGGAGGGAAAAAAAGGAGGGAAAAAAAAGATGGAGGAAAAAAAGGGTGGGGGGGGAAAGAAGGGGGAAAAACTAAAAAGAAAGAAAAAGAAGGCCCCAAGAAAGTCCGAGGATAAATAAACCCAAGCAGAGGCGCAGCAGCAGCACGTGGGACGCGGCAGAAAATGAGTCCAAAGCCAAAGGCAAAGGCAGAGCTCCTTCCCTGACACACAGAACAGTGCCCTGGGCACGGGGCCTGGCACAGGGACCCTTCCATCCCCAGGACCCTTCCAGCCCGGGGACCCTTCCAGCCCGGGGACCCTTCCATCCCCGGGACCCTTCCAGCCCCGGGACCCTTCCAGCCCCGGGACCCTTCCAGCCCCGGGACCCTTCCAGCCCCGGGGACCCTTCCAGCCCCGGGACCCTTCCAGCCCCAGCCTGGAGAGGCCCCAGCACGGCTCCAGCCCCACCACCCTCGCCTGGGATGCTGCCAGCAGCTCCCAGGGTTATTCCCCAGGACATTCCAGCAGCTCCCAGGGTTATTCCTCAGGACATTTGAGCAGCTCCTGGGGTTATTCCCTCTCCTCCTAAGGACCAGCACCTCCCAGGGTTATTCCCCAGGATGTCTGAGCAGCTCCCAGGGTTATTCCTTCCCCTCCTCATCACCAGCAGCTCCCAGGGTTATTCCCCAGGCCGTTCCAGCAGCTCCTGGGGTTATTCCTTCCCCTCCTCAGGACCAGCAGCTCCCAGGGTTATTCTTTCTCTCCCCCAGGACATTCCAGCAGCTCCCAGGGTTATTCCCTCTCCTCCTAAGGACCTGCAGCACCCAGGATTATTCCCCAGAACATTTGAGCAGCTTCCAGGGTTATTCCTTCTCTTCCCCAGGCCGTTCCAGCAGCTCCCAGGGTTATTCCCCAGGATATTTGAGCAGCTCCCAGGGTTATTCCCCAGGCCGTTCCAGCAGCTCCCAGGGTTATTCCCCAGGCCGTTCCAGCAGCTCCCAGGGTTACTCCCCAGGCCGTTCCAGCAGCTCCCAGGGTTATTCCCCAGGCCGTTCCAGCAGCTCCCAGGGTTATTCCCCAGGCCGTTCCAGCAGCTCCCAGGGTTACTCCCCAGGCCGTTCCCCTCCTCAGCAGGGACACCACAGCCCCAGCCGGTTCCTCTCTCGAGTTCCCCATTCCCAGCACGAGGGGGATTCCCACCCCACACCCCCTGGAATCCCCCCGGGGGTTTGGGAGGAATCGGGAATTGCGGCAGGGATGGGGAGCTGGAATTGCCTTTTGGCCGCTCCCGGCAGGGACCCCAGCCCAGCCCCGAGCGGGGAGGCTCCGGTGGGCGCTCCGGTGGGCTCAGCCCTGCCGGGGAAACGGGAGAGCCCCGGGGAATGGGGAACCCCGAGAAAGCAGAAACAAAACAGGAACGCACCCAGAGACCAGACACAGGAATCTGGGGAGGGAGGCTCGGCATTCCCAAAGTTTGAGTGCAAAGCCCCGAAGTTCTCCTGCTGCTGCCCCCAGACATCCCCCAGGGCTCTGCTGAGCAGCCCAGGGATGCAGGAAACACAGACAAACCCCGGGAAAAGGCTGAAATTCCCGCTGGAACAACCCCCGGCTGTCCCACGGCTCAGCAGCACCCCAAAACCAGGAACTGTTCCACAGGAACAGGGCGGGTTTGGGGTTCCCAGAGCACACAGGCCGGTGGGAGAGAGACTGCGCCCCGAAACCCAGCCGGGCACAGCAGCAGGGCCAAAACCCCGCAGGGAGCAGTGCCAGAGAGACCCCCAGAACACAGATCCAGCACAGAGACCCCTCCCCAGCACAGAGACTCCGGCACAGAGACCCTTCCTTAGAACAGAGACCCCCGGCACAGAGACCCTTCCCCAGCACAGAGACCCTTCCTCAGCACAGAGACCCCTGGCACAGAGACCCTTCCCCAGAACAGAGACCCTTCCTCAGAACAGAGACCCTTCCCCAGAACAGAGACCCTTCCTCAGAACAGAGACCCTTCCCCAGAACAGAGACCCTTCCCCAGCACAGAGACCCTGTACCCAGCACAGAGACCCTTCCCCAGCACAGAGACCCTTCCCCAGCACAGAGACCCTTCCCCAGCACAGAGACCCTGTACCCAGCACAGAGACCCTTCCTCAGAACAGAGACCCTTCCTCAGAACAGAGACCCCAGCACAGAGACCCTTCCCCAGAACAGAGACCCCGGCACAGAGACCCTTCCCCAGCACAGAGACCCTTCCCCAGCACAGAGACCCTTCCTCAGAACAGAGACCCTGTACCCAGCACAGAGACCCTGTACCCAGCACAGAGACCCTTCCCCAGAACAGAGACCCTGTACCCAAAACAGAAACCCTTCCTCAGAACAGAGACCCCAGCACAGAGACCCTGTACCTCCTCAGCCCCCCTGAGCCCCCGGCCCCACACCGGGGTCCCTCATCCCCCAGCCCCATTCCGGGGCTCTCCTCAGACCCCCTGAGCCCCCAGCCTCATTCCGCGCTCCCCTCAGACCTGAACTCCCCCAGCCCCATTTCTGGCTCCCCCCAGCCCCATTCCTGTCTCCCCTCACCCCCAGCCCTATTCCTGTCCCCCCCCAGCCCCATTCCTGTCTCCCCTCACCCCCAGCCCCATTCCTGTCTCCCCTCACCCCCAGCCCTATTCCTGTCCCCCCCCAGCCCCATTCCCGTCTCCCCCCAGCCCCATTCCCGTCTCCCCCCAGCCCCATTCCCGTCTCCCCCCAGCCCCATTCCTGTCCCCCCCCTCCCCATTCCCGGCTCCCCCCGCCCCGCCCGGGCCCCTCAGCGCTCCCGGGCCCGCCCCGTGGGCGGGGCTTTCCCGCCTAGCGGCGCCCCCCTCGCCCGCCATTGGCCGCCGGGCCCGCCGCTCAGGGGCGGCGCGCGCCGCGATTGGCCGAGGAGCGCCGTCACTCAGCGCGGGGGCGGGGCGGGCGGAGCCAGGGCCGCACGAAAACTCGGGGAGAGTTGTGGGGGGAGGGGCCGGCCGGGGCTCCCGCCGCCCCCGGGGCCGCCCCGCCGCTGCCGCCGCCGCCCCGCCCGGGCCGCCCCGCCGCGCCGCCGCCGCCGGTACCTGAGGGAGCCGCGCCGGGCCCGCCGCCGCCGCCGCTCGCGCTGGGGCCGCCGCCGCCCCCCCGCCCCGCGCGCCCGGCTCTCGCGAGAGCCGCGCGCAGCTAACGGCGCCGCGGCCAATGGGGGCCCGGGGGCGGGGCCGCGGCGGGAGGGGCGGGGCTGCCGCGCGGAGTGGGCGTGGTTTGATACAGGCCCCGCCCCGGGGCCCCGCGGGGACGAGACCGGGACAGGCACCGGACAGGCACGGGATGGACCGGGATAGAGCCGGGACAGGCCAGGGATAGACCGGGACAGAGCCGGGACAGGCCAGGGATAGACCGGGATAGAGCCGGGACAGGCCAGGGATAGACCGGGACAGAGCCGGGACAGGCCAGGGATAGACCGGGATAGGCACGGGACAGACCGGGATAGGCACGGAATAGACACGGGACAGACCCGGAATAGACCGGGATATGCACGGGTTAGACCAGGATAGACCGGGGTAGCACGGGATAGGCACGGGACAGCCTGGGACAGACCCAGGATAGCCCTGGGGGGTCTCTCTCTCAGCCGCTCCATGTGCGCATGCGCCGCCGGGGCTGTGCCGCCCCCTGCCGGACCGGAGGACTCGGGGCGGGCGGGGGGCGGGGCCTGGGCGGGGGGCGGGGCCGCGCGCGCCCTCTGGCGGGAACGCGGGACAGCGCAGGTGAGCGCACCTGGGCGGGGGGGGGGGCACCAAGGTGTCCCCAAGGTGTCCCCAGGTGTCCCCAAGGTGCCCCCCCGATGTCCCCAGGTGTCCCCAAGGTGTCCCCTGATGTCCCCAAGGTGTCCCCAGATGTCCCCAAGGTGTCCCCCGATGTCCCCAAGGTGTCCCCAAGGTGTCCCCAAGGTGCCCCCAAGGTGTCCCTAAGGTGTCCCGAAGTGCCACCCGATGTCCCCAAGGTGTCCCCAGGTGTACCCAGGTGTCCCCAAGGTGCCCCCCGATGTCCCCAAGGTGCCCCCAGGTGCCCCCCCGATGTCCCCAGGTGTCCCCAAGGTGTCCCCGTGTCCCGTTTGTCCCCGCGGGGAGAGCAGCCGCGGAACGGTTTCCATGGCAACGGGCGGGTTAATATGAAAAAAAACCCCAAAACCAGAACAAAACAAACCAAAAACCACCAAAACCACCCAAATCCCCGATCAGCCGCGCGGGGCAGCGGCGCCATTTCCACTGCGGAGAGAAAAAGGAACCGCGGAAAGGCGGGAGGGGGAGGGGCTCCCCTCCCCCCCTCCCCTCTCTCCCCTCCCCCCCCAGGGCCCTCCTCGGCACGGGACGGGACCGGGAAACGGAGGAAGAGGAGGGAGAGGCAGCCCCGGGAGGAAGGACGGGCCCGAGGAGGGAGAAATCCCTTTTTGCCCCTTCCCCCCCCTCCTTTTTCCCCCCTTTTTTTCCCTTTTTTCTCCTTTTCCCCCCTTTTTTTCCCGTTTCCCCCCCTTTTTTCTCCTATTTTTCCATTTTTCCCCTTTCCCCCCTTTCCTTTCCCCTTATTTTCCCCCTTTTCAGACTTCCCCTCTTTTTTCCCTATTTTTCCCTTTTTTCCCCTTGTTTTCCCCCTTTTTTCCCATTCCCCCCTTTTTCCCCTATTTTCCCCTTTTCTCCCCTTTTTTCACCCTTTCTCCCATTTCCCCCCTCTTTCCCCCCATTTTTCCCTTCTCCCCTCTCTTTTTCCTCTTTTTCCCCCATTTCCCCCCATTTTCCCCCATCTTCCCCCCTCTTTTTCCTCCTTCCTCCCTTCCCACCCCTCAAACCCCAAAAATCCCCCCAGAACCCAAATTTCCCACCCAAAAAATCCCAAATACCCCCTTAAAATCCATCTTTTCCCCCCAAAATCCTGATTTCTTCCCCAAAATCCCAATTACGCCCCTAAATCCCAAATATCCCCCCAAAATCCCAATTCCCCCCCAAAATCCCAATTCCCTCCCCCAAATCCCGTTTTTCTCAAAAAAAATCCTAATTTTCGCCCCCAAAATCCCAATTTTCGTCCCCAAAATCCCAATTCCCCCCCAAAAACCCCAATTTCTGCCCCCAAAATCCCGATTTTTCCCCCCAAAAATCCCGATTTTTCTGCCTGCTTTCCCCTCTCCCGAGCAGGGGGTGAAGCCTCCGCCGAGCCCGGCCCGGCCTCCGATCCATCATTTTTATTTCCTGCTCTAAGTGACAAATTGTTCCGTATTTTACACGGATCCCTCCAGGCACGGGGGCTGCGCATGGCATTTTTCCCTTTTTTTTTTCCCTTTTTCCTCTTTTTTTTTTTTTCGGTTCAACATCGGAAAGAAAATAAGGGAAAAAAAATATATATAGCCATAAAAAGCGAATAATAAAATAAAAAATCCCCGTTAAAACAACCCAAAAGCAGCGCCGCGCTGGTAATGAGCACCGCAGAGAGGCTCCATAAACCCCAAAATCCCCTTTTATTGCCTCAAAACCGCCGGGGCAGAATTCCCCACCCCAAAATCCCCTTTTATTGCCTCAAAACCGCCGGGGCAGAATTCCCCACCCCAAAATCCCCTTTTATTGCCTCAAAACCGCCGGGGCAGAATTCTGCCACCCCCGGCAGGTGCAGACACCCCAAAAAAACAATTTATTCCCCCAGAAAGCGGCGCTGCTGCAGCTGAAAAAGGAAAAAAAATCATAATTTTTATAAAATCTGATTTTTTCTCCATTTTTCCCATGCGAAGCTCGGGCTCTGCTGCTGAAAATCGCCGTTTCCAGCGGGATTTGAATTGTCTGGAAAAGGTCAGGAAATGTTCCTTCCCCCGGGCTCCATCCCGCTTTATTTATTATTTATTCCTCCCGGGAGGAGCCGCCGCTGCCTGCAGAAATCCGCTGCTTTGGGGGAAAATCCATAAAATTCAAAATAAATGGTAAAAAAACCCCGATTTTCTCCCTTTTTCTGGCTGCAGAAATCCGCTGCTTTGGGGGAAAATCCATAAAATTCAAAATAAATGGTAAAAAAAACCCGATTTTCTCCCTTTTTTTTTTGCTGCTGAAATCCGCTGCTTTGGGGGAAAATCCATAAAATTCAAAATAAATGGTAAAAAACCCATTTTCTCCTTTTTTTTTTTTTGCTGCTGAAAATCCGCTGCTTTGGGGGGAAAACCCATAAAATTCAAAATAAATGGTAAAAACCCCGATTTTCTCCCTTTTTTTTTACTGCTGAAAATCTGCTGCTTTGGGGGGAAAATCCACAAAATTCTCAGAGAACCCAGAGAAACCGAACCGGGAAATCCGAACCGGGAAATCCGAACCGGGAGAACCGAACCGGGAGAACCGAACCGGGAAAACCGAACCCGGGAAATCCAAACCCGGGAAGAACCGAACCGGGAAAACCGAACCCGGGAAATCCGAACCGGGAAGAACCGAACCGGGAAATCCGAACCGGGAAAACCGAACCGGGAGAACCGAACCCGGGAGAACCGAACAGGGAAATCCGAACCGGGAGAACCGAACCGGGAAATCCGAACCGGGAAATCCCAACCGGGAAATCCGAACCCGGGAAATCCCAACCGGGAAATCCGAACCGGGAAATCCGAACCGGGAGAACCGAACCCAGAGAAACCGAACCGGGAGAACCGAACCGGGAGAACCGAACCCGGGAAAACCGAACCGGGAGAACCGAACCCAGAGAAACCGAACCGGGAGAACCGAACCGGGAGAACCGAACCGGGAAATCCGAACCGGGAAAACCGAACCGGGAAAACCGAACCGGGAGAACCGAACCGGGAGAACCGAACCGGGAAAACCGAACCGGGAAATCCGAACCGGGAAATCCGAACCGGGAGAACCGAACCGGGAGAACCGAACCGGGAGAACCGAACCGGGAAATCCGAACCGGGAAAACCGAACCCGGGAGAACCGAACCGGGAAATCCGAACCGGGAAATCCGAACCGGGAGAACCGAACCCGGGAAATCCGAACCGGGAGAACCGAACCCGGGAAATCCGAACCGGGAAATCCGAACCGGGAGAACCGAACCCGGGAGAACCGAACCGGGAAGAACCGAACCGGGAAGAACCGAACCGGGAGAACCGAACCGGGAAATCCGAACCGGGAGAACCGAACCGGGAAGAACCGAACCGGGAAGAACCGAACCGGGAAGAACCGAACCGGGAGAACCGAACCCGAGGCCGCTGCAATGCGCGGAGCGGCCGCCAGGGGGGGAGATGGCAGCGCCGAGCGGCTGCGGCCCAAAATCCCCGAAATCCCCCAAAAAACCTGAAATCCCCCAAAATCTCAAATCCCACAAAAACCCCCAAATCCCCCAAAAACCCCCAAATCCCCCCAAAATCCCGAAATCCCCCAAAATCTCAAATCCCACAAAAACCCCCAAATCCCCCCAAAACCCCGAAATCCCCCAAAACCCCGAAATCCCCCCCAAAACCCCCAAATCCCCCAAAAACCTCGAAATCCCCCAAAACGGGGCAGCCCCGGCTGCAGCAGAGACCCCCGGAGGGACCCAGGAGGGATTTGGGGTTTGAGGGAAGATTTGGGGTTGAGGGAAGATTTGGGGTTGAGGGAAGATTTGGGGTTGAGGGAGGATTTGGGGTTTGAGGGCGGATTTGGGGTTTGAGGGCGGATTTGGGGTTTGAGGAAGGATTTGGGGGTTGAGGGAAGATTTGGGGTTGAGGAAGGGATTTGGGGGTTGAGGGAGGATTTGGGGGTTGAGGGAGGATTTGGGGTCAGGAGCATTGCAGGGGGTTCAGGACTGGAACCAAAGGGTAAAATCGAGCCTTGGAAAGGTAAAACTGAGCCTTGGAAGGATAAAATGGGGATAAAGCCCAGCCTGGGCTCGCTGATAAGGATCAGTGATAAGGATCAATTACAAGGATCAGTGATAAGGATCAATGACAAGGATCAATGACAAGGATCCTGACAAGGATCAATTCTAAGGATCAGTTACAGGGATCACTGACAAGGCTCCTGATAAGGCTCATTGATAAGGGCCGGCTGAGATAACAAATCCCCAGGAGCATTAAATCAATCCTGGCTCGGAGATTATTTTCCATAATCCATTTTTTTCCATAATCCATTTTTT